AGCCTGTGGGGTGTGGTCCAGTGACTCAGCTTAATCTCTGGCACGTCTCTTTTTCTGCTGCGCACGCTTATCGTTCCTACGCTGGCGTGGATCCAGCCACAACTTTTCTTCCTCATTATCTGACACACCTGGCTCCTGGCCAATCTGAGAAACACCGGGCTCCTGGCCAATCTCTGAACCACCTGGCTCCTGGTCAATCTCTTCTCCATCAGAAGACACCTGAGGCATTGCCAAAGAGGAGGGTCCTGGAGAGGGAGGCCTAGCCATCTCCTCTCCTTCATGTTCGGAGCCTTCTTCCTCTGATAAGAGGGGCTCACAAGACAGAGCCACAACAGAGCCCATGCATTGTAAAAATGCCCCTCAGCACCTGAATGGTCCTGGCAGTAATCACAGTGGACACTGGAATGACCTCTAGCCACTTGGAGTTACTGTCCACAACAATGAGGAAGAGTTGCCCCTGAAAGAGGCCAGCAAAGTCGATATGAACCCTCGACCAAGGGGTTTGTGTGGTCTCCCATCTATGTACAGGAGCATGTGGCATTTCTGGCCTTGACTCTGTCGAGTGTGACACCTGTAGACCTGGGCCTCGATGTGTTTATCGAGTCCAGGCTACCAGAGATAGCTACGCATAAGCGCCTTCATCCAGACTATGCCCAGATATTCCTCATGAAGAGAATCAAGGACTCTAGTCCTCAGTGAAGTCGAGATTACTACCCTGCTATCCCATAGGACACAACCCTTAAAGGTGGATAACTCATGCTTCCTTTTCCAGAAACTTTGAAAGTCAGGGCCATGACAAGTTTCTGGCCATCTTCTGAGCACCCTGTTTAACACGTGGGTCAACGTGTTGTCTGAAGCTGTTTCAGCAGCTACATCCCCCACGTTAAGGGGAGACTCCGGCAAATCCTGGATAGACAGGATGTGGTTGGCTGGAGCAGGATCTGATTCTAATAGCTATAGAAGCAACCAACTAAGGCTGTCTACGTGGCCCATTTCTTTACCCGGTTTGTTAACCAGACAATAATCATAAGAATATAAGAATATTGACCACCTCAACTTTCTAGGAGAGATAATCTGGGGTGTCTGCTTGTTCATGGTGAACAATCCCAAAAGTGGCTTGTGATCAGTGAAAACCATGAAGTGACGGCCATACAAAAAGTCATGAAACTTTTTTATGCCATCCACAATGGCCAATGCCTCCCTATCTATTTGTACATAATTGTATTCTGCAGCAGAAAGAGTCCTGGAGTAATAAGCTATAGGGACCTGTGTCCCATCAGCCCTAAGATGGCTTAACACAGCTCCGATCCCATAAGGGGATGCATCACATGCGATGCAGATTGGCAACTGCTCATTAAAATGAGCTTACACCGCATTTGAAGACAACAATGCTTTAACTGCAGCAAAACCCCTCTCGTGGACCCTTGTCCACTTGCATGGGACATGTTTGTCCAAGAGCTGGTGTAATGGCTCTGCCACTGCAGCTTTGTGGGGCAGGAAAGCATGATAGAAGTTGAGGAGTCCCAGGAAGGCCTGAAGCTCTCCCTTCGACTTGGGACTGGGTGCCTGCTGAATTGCTTTGAGCTTGGATTCAGCAGGATGAATGCCTTCGGCATCTATAAGAAACCCCAGGAATTCTGTGGAAGTGACTCCAATTTTGCATTTCTCCTGCCCAGCTTCACAGAAACGCCGCAAGACAGGCCGGACCCTGTCAGCAAGGTTTTCGACTGATTCTCCAGCTATGAAAACATCATCGAAATATGGGCATACACCCGGAATGTTGCAGAGTGTGCACTTTGAAAAATGCCAGGGGCTACATTAACCCCGAACTGTAACCGTCGCACCTTGAAGGGTCCCTGATGGGTTACAATGGTTTGGGCCTCCGCCATGGCATCATCCACCAGAAGTTGTTGGTAGTTGTTGTGCCAAATCTAATTTGGTGAAAATGCGACCTCCCTGTAGTGAAGCCAAGATGTGGCTGACTACAGGCACCAGATAGGAGTACTGCTGGAGAGCTTTGTTTAGCGTGCATTTATAGTCGGCACAAATGCGGACTTCTGCATTGGCCTTAAGTGGTGTGACAATGGGAGTTTCACACCACTTAAGGCCAATGGAGAAGTCCGCATTTGAAGGAAACACAACAAGAGAAGGGAACTGCTTTGCCAGGTTGCCGTTGAGGTCTTCTCTCTGGAGGTTGCTGCAACCGATCGACTTCGTGGTCCAATTCGGAGGCTTCAACTCTCTCGGCGTCCTCTTGGTGAATGGTTTCTGAGCAAGGAGGGTCTTGGAGAGCCGCAACGCCTTAACAGCTCTGCCTGCTGCTTCTTTGGCCGTTATCTCTCTCAACGCATCTTGAAAAGAGATGGCCTCTTTAACAAAGATCTTCTGTTGAACTTCTCGGCTCCTAAGACCACAAACTAAGCAGTCCCACAGCCTTTCTTCAAGGTCCTTGAATTCACATTGCCTTTCAGCCTGGCGAAGAGCAGCTATGAAATCAGTGGTGGACTCACCAGGATGCTGGTCTTGCTGTTCAAAGGCATGTCATCAAGCGATAACTGAAAGCTTTGGCTCAAAATGTTCCTTGGGCATCTTTTTCAGTTCTGCGTATGCAATGGACTCAAGTGGCACTAGTGCAACCAAGTTCTCTGCAATGTCGAATGTTGCTTGACCACAGACACACAACAGCGTCGTGGCCTTCAGCCCATCTTCACAAACTTGGTTAACACGTAGGTAATTTTCAACCCTCACGACGTAGGAGCTCCACCTCTCTGGATGAGTGACATCAAATTCTGAGAGTCGACCTATCTTCGTCATGGTGAGTCTTTGGCAGCCTTTTCAATGCCTCATGCTCCGCAGGCTTTGGTGGGACTTCCAGGGCTGGTCCTTGGTAGCACTCTCCTCCAGCGTCTTTATACTGGCATGATAGAGTGAGCAGGTGGGGGTGGAACTCCATTCTGACCAAGCGCTTGCTAGGCCTTTTCCCCGTACACTCAGCTCTTCGAATTGCAGCAGCACGATCCCACCTTTGTCGCCAATGTTCTGTTTTCTGCTTGGTTTGGCATTGAAGAGGCAGCAGTAATTAACAGGTACTTATTTATTGAAAGTCAAAACAGAAAACTAACAAGCATGGCTCCGCCCCTATTTATACATTCAGCTTTGGGCAGCATCAGCCAATGAATGCACCATATTCTCCCACTCAAATAAATACTAATCAACCTTGCAGACAGTGAGTCTGGCTAGCAGGTCACGTGGTCTGCTAATGGTCCTTGCACAGATCTCTGCAAACTGTTCCAGAGGTTTAACACAATACATTACAAATACAATAATATTCACCATATTATAACCATATTATGATGCCGTTATGCACCTAGTGTTAGATCCATATTAAATATTTCAACATTTACCTGAAACATAATTGTGGGCTTCCAGCTGAGGGAAGTATGTATTTATCTGTTGTAGCAACAGACTTGGTTATCTGAATCATCAGAAATATTGAGTAATTACAGGAATTCCACAGACTCTTTTATTCAAATGAACGAAAACCGCTAAAGGAGATGGAAAAAAACATATTGAGGTGTATTAGGCTATCCCACCTCCTTTGAACTCCATGCTGTGATAGAATTGATTTGAGAAAGGACTCTAAACATGAGGGATGAGGATAAAAATGGAAAAGTGAAATCTAACTGATTTCTGTATTACATGTACCCTGCCTATGTTGTAAAAAATACTGCATTAAAAGGCTAATAAAGAATGGATAATGTAACCTATTGGTGCTAGACCTACTCTGGTAATTACTATTTGTATTTTAATAATTCTTTTCAGTGAAGTCTGATTCATAGCTGAGATTTTAATATTTTATAGGATGAATTATGCCACAATTTAAGTATTTACATTCCCTTATAAATTTAGACATTGTAATAAAAGAGAAGTAGAAAGTGTATGAATGAAAGTTGAAAGAGGAGGAATTAAATAGGTTCAGGCTTGTATTGATACTGGTTCTGCAAATTATGTCTTCATCTGTGTACATTGTTAGATCACACCCCTTTATTAACATAGGTATAATAGTGTCCACAATAGTATCCCTCACATGTTGGCTGTGTTTGTCTGCATCAGGTCCTATGTGATTCACCCTATGTGATTTTATTGTGTAGTCTATCTATTCATTTAAATGATATCTAAAATCAATTTCATAACATCTGTTGGTCTGTCTATTTAACAAAAAGAATGGGCCAGGAAAGGATACTCTCTCTCTTGCGGATTTCCTATTGTTACATCCTTATTTCCTTTATCAAGATCCAGACTGTGCTGAAATTAAGTCATCAGGCAAAGTCATTCTTATTCTAAGTTGTATCCAATGCTATTTAACTTGAGAAAAAATAATCTTAAGAATTTTTTTCTGCTCCTTTCCAAGATCTTAGTGAATAGCTTAAATTTGATTTTATACTATTTCTGCCCAAGCAACTACAATAGCTGGAAGACATCAGTGGCGAAGTAATTGCTACAATAAATAAACTGAAAGGGAAGAATGAGACTGTGTGAAATTATAGCATAATATGTGGTTGAAGAGCAGATAACACCTCCCCCCCTCTGCCCCCCCCCCTCTCTCTCATACCAGTAGTCACAGGAATATACTGCTCCCAGGTACTTTTTAAAGAAGTTGCACAATGTCTGCAATGCTCATTTAGCTTTATTTCAAGGAATATTTGCCAAATTTTATTTCAATGCACAAATGTTTTAGAGTTTGATGGGTAGCAATTTGAATTATATAAAGAAAGATAAAGCGATAACAGGCGATAATCTCAGGTCATTGGCCATATCTTGATGGTATCCATGGTCGTAGATGGAGATGGCATTATTTTCCATTTCCGCTATACAAATGAGAAAAAATAATAAGTTGATCAAAGTGAGTTTAGAGTAAATTCTTTGCTTTGCAAAGCTTTGTGAATGCAAACTATATCAGGCAGAGAATCTCATTATGTATTGTATCTGTAGTATCTCTGTTAGAGGAGAGTTTTCTTACCGTTTAATTACAGCACAACTGGCCCCACTCACAGTCCTTCCATCCATTGTTATTTTTTCCATCAGGACATCGACTTTGATAGCATTGTCCTCCTATGTTCCTACACTCAGGAGGCTGGGCATTCCCTATGAAAAGAAAAAGAGGAGACAGGTAAACGATGAGTAAAGATTCCTTAATATTTAAATACATTTTTCCTTCCAAGACATTACCTTTTTCTACAGAATTGCAGGATTCCTTTATCAATTTATAATTTTATTCATTTATAAACATAAAAATATGAAAATAAAAAGCAAATAGTAAGGAACAACAAAGGGAAAAAGGAAAAAGGGGAAATGTGGAAAGGGGGGGAAGAAACAAAAGGTGTTGACTTCTGATGCCCTCTGTTGCAGTAAAATAACGCATTAAAATCGAATCTCAACGTTTTACATTTCTGTAGTAGTATGAACTAGCCATTTCTCTTTCAACAAGTCAGTCTAATCAGTAAACCCCAAAATCATAGTATCATTTTTTTCCACCTCAAGCACAAAGTCCAGAAGCAGTTTCCAAGTAGAAACAAAAGTACTTATATTCTTTTCTTTTATCAAAACTGTCAGTTTAGCCATCTCTGCTAACTCCATCAGCTTTTGTAACCATTCATCCAAGGTGGGAATGGAAACATCCTTCCAAGAATTGCAGGATTCCTAGGACTACAGCAAGTTTTCTCTGACCACAGAGATCAATTTCTGCTGATCTCCTGCAGCAGCTCAAATAAATCAACTATTAACCCAGGTTTGAAGTCTGACTCAGAGATGAATTAGCTGGTAAGCCTACATCTATTAATGTAGGAGGGAAGAAATAATCTGGTTCATATGAAGGACCTTGCTGTGATATATTTCTCTCCAGTATTGCCATGAATCCTTGCTGAGTTACAGTGGCCAGTTGCATTGTGTGTATTGGATGAAGACCTTGAGTGAGAAGGTTTAACTTCCTTTAAACATTAGGACCTGGTTTTCCTTTGGCTTTCTCCCTTTTCTCTTAATGTTTCTATCACTGCTCTTTTCTGCTCTTGAAATGCTGTACATTTATGATATTTTGCTACAATTTCATCTCTTTTGCCCACATTAAGTACAAATATATTCACTAGATCATTAATATCTTTTATTTTTTCTATTTTTATTTTTTTAAAAATAACTCAAGGTGGTAAATGTATCTAATAAGCCTTCCTCCTCCTATACTCCCCATAACAGCAACACCATCAAGAGCTTTGGAGAGAGAGAGAGAGAGAGAGAGAGAGAGAGAGAGAGAGAGAGAGAGCGACTGGTACAAATTCACTCAGTCAGCTTTCAGGCCTAAGGTGGGACTAGAACTCAGTATCCAGAATTGTAGTATTTTGTTCTAATCACTAGATCAAACTGTTTCTCCATTGTGCCTCCTTATTCAAATAGAACATATTTGGCTGAGAATTTGGTAAACTAATACTAAAGTGAAACAAATCAACAAAAATAAGCTACAATAACAAAAAACCCAATAAAGTTGTTTCAAGAATTGTGAATCAAAAGAAAAATCAATGGCATATTTTTCAAATGTTTGGAGGCTCATGTTGTCAATAGTTTATACTGTTCAAAGCTATTTCTGTAAAGTAAAATAAAAAGATGTTGAAGATTATCCTGCTTTCAGTGATGATCATATTTGTTTAAAAAGGAGTGAGTTACCAATCCTTTGTAAATTATCAGTAATTTTGTTTCTTACCTGGTTCAGACAGGAATGCAAGGAAAAGAAATGTGAACAGCAGATAAAGGATCTTCATGCTGAGACTGGTTCTGGACCAAATCTTACTCCTGGGACAGACATGGCTCTCTATTTATGGAGCTATAATGATTGCATCATATCACCTCAGTGAATTATTGCAAAATAGTTCTTACATAAGGCAATGGTGCATCTTCCTTGTATTGCAATGGTGCACCTTCCTTGTATTGAAACACTCCTGTTTGTTAGGTCAGGACTTGCAATGTCCTAATGGGGCAAAGAAAATTCCTTACTGAATTGCTGCCCAAACTCTACAGTCCATGATGATAATGCTCAGCCATGTTCACTAATGGCTGGAGTTTGGGAAGAGCCCTTAGAACCAAGTGGTAGAAATCTGGGGTTGGCACTGCTATCATGGGTGACACATTTTTATGGGTGGGTTTTGGGAAAACAGCTGCTCTGCCTCTTGGTGGGTCTTTGTGGCATTCAGATTAAGCACAGACTGATTTGGCTTTCATTGAAGTATTCCTCCCTCATCCAGGTGATTTTTATTTCCCTGAAGACAGAGAATATATGCAGAGTTGGTTAGTAGAAGCCCTGTGGGACATAGAAGATTAACTGAAATTGAGAAGGAGAGCTGGGTTCCAAAAGCTGTGAGTGTTGGTTACATTGAATGTTTCCTGCTGCTTCAGCTACAAAGGATCTCATGGGGGCCATATTTTTTATTACTTATCTCTAAATTTCAGTGGTGAGAACAATATGGCTTTACACGTAGGCAAGAAAAAATGAATGCACAGGTATAGAATAAGTGATATGTGGCTCAATAGCATTAACTGTGAGAGCTTGGCTCCAGAAGTTTTGGGTGCTCCATCACTGGAGGTTTTAAAGAATAATTTGGAAAGCCATTTGTCTGGAATAGTGTAGGGCAGGGCTTTTCATCCTTTTCACCCATTGTACCACTTTTAGGATATGGCAACATCCGAGTACCACCAGTCGCCTAGCAAGGTGTCAAAAACTTGATGACCCCCCCCCCAAAAAAGGGAAAAAAGTGATAAAGTAACTGGTAGTCCTCAACTTTCAACAGTTTGCTTAGTGACTGTTCGAAGTTACAATGGCATTGAAAAAAGTGCCCCCCAAGCCACAGCCAAGCAAGACACTTGCCTGCCCGCCTGGCGGTGCTCTTCCTCCTGTCCGAGGTTTTCATTGTTGTGAGCATTTATGTTGAGGATTGGCAGCAGGGTGGGGTGGGAGGGTGTTTGGTTTTTATTCCCCCCGTCTGCTGGGTGGTTGCAGCAGGTTTTGGTCACTTCACATGATCCTGGGACACTGTGACCATCATAAATATGAATCAGTTGCCAAGCATCTGAATGTAAATCACAAGACCCTGGAGATGCTGCAACATTCCAGCTGATAGGTGCTTCTTCTGGGCTCAGCCGAAGTGCCAGGATCAGTGCTGCTTTCCAGGTGATTGGCGCTTCTTCAGGGCTCAGCAGAAGCACCAGGATCAGCGCCGAGCTCCAGCTGGAGCCTGGCGCTGATCCTGGAACTTCCACTGAGCCCTGACAGCCCCGAAGAAATGCCAATCAGCTGGAAAGCGGCACTGATCCTGCCGCTTCCGCTGAGCCCTGACAGCCCTGCAGCTCCGGCCATCTCTCGCTCAGGCTTATGCGGTACTGCCACCGGTTCAGCTCATTCCCCTCCCCTGCTACCACTTTTCTAGGATGGTCGTGTACCACCTGCCAGGTGCCAATGTACCACAGGTGGTACCCGTACCACTGGTTGAAAAGCTCTGGTGTAGGGTTTCCGGCTTGAGCATGGGATTGGACTAGAAGGTCCCTTCCAACTCGGTTATTCTGTAAGTTCTGTTGGTTCTGAGGTGTCGCATCCAGTTGCCATGGTTGCTGTAGAGATTTTGAGATGATTTCAAAGTGAAGCACAAGCATTTTCCCATACCCTGAATAACACAATAACTTAAAATCTGTTTTCACAAAACAAAATACTCAGACTTAGTTATATATAAAATCATCCTAGTTTCACAAACTAAATATGACTTTTCAACATTTGCCTATTTTTTAACATCTTTTTCTTTTCTTTCTATCTTTTTTCTTCTCCCAATCTGCGATACAATTGCTCTGAGGAAGGATCCTAAGAGTGACGGATGAGAAGAAGAATAGAAAAAAAACTACTGAAAGATTTAACAATTTCTGTATTAGATGCAGAAAAATAATACAGAAAATGTTAAGTAATCAAGATGCAAAGAATTTCTGCAGCGAAAATGCATACTTGGAGGGTCCCACAGGAAGTCAAGTATTGAGCCTGGTTGTTGGTGAGCAATGGATTGAAAGTTCCTGGCAATGAGTGGAAAAGGTGGTTATTGAGCCACATCTCCTAAGCTTTGCCTTGAGGGTTGGAGCCAATTTCTGTGGACTCCCATCAAATAGCCTTGATACAGGACCTCATAGAAGATGAACATTCAAAATTAGAAATCAATTAACCACAGGTACACTAAATAGTAGGAGACCAGTGAGACTGAAAATGGTAAAATTGGCAGCCCTAAAAAGAAAGGAAATCAATATTTAATAATGTGGTTCTTTACCCAAGAACCACAGAAAGCAGTTAATGAGGAAATTGTGGAAGTCAGCTGCATCAACAAAAGTGCCTTGAAACCTTGAAATAATGTCAAACTTCTGCTATTCCCCAAGAAACGGACAATTACTTTGTGTAATGAGTGGATGCAGCAACGGTAATGAGGAAACCACAGGTGCAAACTCACTTGGTGTTTAGTAATCAAATTAAGTAAAGTAAAGAATAATAAAATAAGTGGAGACTATTACTTAAATTTAGGTTTAAAAATAATTGAGGAACAATGTTTGAAAAGGAGCTGCCTAAATTTCTGTGTGAAGAAGTTGATACTGTTCAGCAATTGTTCTTTTATCATTCAAATGATGGAACTTTGTGCAAAGCTTCATGAGGACATTTTCACATATCCTGCTTCCACCTCCATAATCCCTCAAAGACATTTTTAAATCAACGAAGTTAACCTCCTTTGCAATGCTGAGAAGAATTTGTAGTGCTTCCCTGTCTGAGAAGAGGGCAGTTTAATACTTCTCATGTTTCTTCCTCCAAATCTCTCACAAAGCTGTTTGAATTTGATCCCTGATTATTCACACTGTAGTGCAGAGAATGTGAAGAGAGCACCATAAAGTGTTCAAACTTGGCCAATAGGAAACTGCATTTGTTTAGCGGTTTCCCAAATGTGTTTTATGAAAAACTATGTGACAGCAAGTTGATTACCCAAAACCTTAAAAAAAGGACATAAAATGAAATCCAATCCTAACCCAGCCCAGCCCAAACCGCAAGCCTTAGCATTACCTCAAATTAAAAATTCTGTGTCTTCTGAAGGTGAAATGATGGCATGTCAACTTCTTTAGCTTTAATCCTGGCTGCATAATCCTGAATGACTAGAAAGGCTAATTAGAGCCAATTAGAGTTAAGTTTGATTAGTATTTAGATGGTCGACTGGACACAGGTACACTTGGCTTCTGCAAGTTTTGCCACATATATATGATGAAAATCTGTTTGGATGTGTTCTTCTATAAAAAAACTTTTTTGCCATTGTTTAAATCGTACATCTATTGTCAATATCAGTATTGTCTGAAATAAAATAATAACAATCCATGCAAAATAACCTAGCCAACAAATTTGTCATCGAAAAGGTGACGTAAAGCTGTACTGGACTTAATTCTTACCAATAGAGAAGAAGTGATAGAGGGAGTTGAAGTTGCCGAAAACATGGGAAAAAGTGACCACGTCATACTGGAATTTAATATAACACAAACACTAGCAATAGAAAACAATCCAACCAGTGTTTTAAACTGCAAAAGAGCTGATTTCAACAAACTTAGAGGGAACTTAGGAAAGATTCCATGGATGAAAATCATAAAGGGGAAAACAATCCAAGAAACATGGGAAACTCTGAAAAATGTGATCATAAAAGCCCATACCAGCGCAATACCACTGAAAAAGAAAAACAAGAAATCCAAGAAGAAACTAACATGGCTGCATAAAGATCTCTCTGACAAACTGAAAGAGAAAAAGCACAAATAAAAAAGGGGAAAGACGGACACATAACTAAGGCTGGTTATCAGCAGACAGCCAAAACATGCAAAGATGAAGCAGGAAAGCAAAGGCCCAGAACGAACAAAGACTTGCAACAGAAATCAAGGATAATAATAAAAAAAGCTTCTTCCAACATATTAACAATATGAAAAAAGTCAAGGAAACTGTAGGTCCACTAAAGAGAGAAGATGGCGAGAAAATAACATGCAACAGGGAGAAAGCAGAGCTGCTTAACTCATTCTTTGCATCAGTCTTCAAACAAAAACAAACTATAGCTTGGCATACCAAAAAAAAACACTGCAAAAGACAAACTAGAAACAAAAATAAGCAGGAAAATGGTAAGCAACCACCAGGATCCAACAAATTACATCCCAGAGTTCTGAAGGAGCTGGCAGATGTTATCTCAGAACCATTGCACCATATATTTCAAAAGTCCTGGAGCACCAGGGAAGTACCTGAGGATTGGAAAGGGGCTGATGTGGTTCCCATCTTCAAGAAAGGAAAGAAAATGGACCCAGGAAACTATAGACCAATCAATTTAATATCAATACCAGGGAATGTCCTAGAAAAGATAATAAAAAAATAGATCTGTGAACAACTAGAAGCAAACAAAGTTATAACTAACAGCAAGCACAGGTTTGTTAAAAACAGATCATGCCAAACCAATCTTATTTCATTCTTTGAGAAAGTGACTAAACTAGTAGTATACTTAGATTTCACTAAGGCATTCAACTAAGTAGACCACAACCTACTCATTAAGTTTGACTCTCTCCCATGAGTTTAGTCCCAATAAAATGTATCTTTTTCTTCTCATATTTTCAAACCCAGTCAATAGTATTTTACAAACGTTGGAAATTATTCAACATTATTTTAAAAACTGGAAAAAATACATTTACATACATATTCATGTTATGCATACAAAACTAACTTAAAACTTTCTTCAGTACATAAATAAAACTTTTTAAAAAT